TTTCTTTCTTTCTTTCTTTCTTTCTTTCTTTCTTTCTTTCTTTCTTTGGCTAGTCAATGGGTTTAAGTGACTTGCTCAGGGTCACTCATCTAGTAAGTGTTATGTGTCTAAGGCCGGATTTGAACTCAGGTCCTCCTGACTCCAAGGCCAGAGCTCTAACCACTGCCCCACCTAGCTGCCCCTGGTTGGTTGTTTTTTTGAGGTACAGCATTGATTCTTGGGCCTAGTCCCACTGCCGATGGGCACAGAATCTTAAGCTTTGAACTGTTGCCCCTTCTTAGACGGCCTGATGGCCCCCTCCTCTCAGGGGCTTAGTGCTGCACTTAGTGCACACGTAATTAATTGCATTAGCAGCACTGAAGCTAAGGACTCCCTACCCTCAAGCCATCCACTGGCCTCAGCCTACCCTAGTAGGGTTTACAGGTGTGTGTCCCCATGCCCAGCAATATAATACCTCCCTGCTCCCAGCATGAGACTAATGGAATTAAAATCATAGATTTATAGCATCTAAAACTGGAAAGAACGAAAAAAAAACCTTACAAGGCATCTAGTCCAACCACCTCATTATATAGATGAAGGAACTATGGCTTGGAAAGATTGTAGACACACTCTTGAGACTGACAATTAGGGGGAAAATGGACATTTAAAGCCCTTTACAATTTAACCCCTCCAGAATTAATCCCACATCCCAAAGCCATCTGATCTCATCTCCTACTGTTCTCCCATGTGTGCATTCTACTTTAACCAGACTAGTTCCGTTATACCCAGAATATACCATATACATTTCATCCTAGGCATTATTCCCTGCAGACAATACCATCTCCTTCCCACCCCCACCCCTACCCTCCCCTCTCCTTCGGGATGGTCAAGACTCCACTTGAATCCTAACAGCCCCATGAAGCCTCATAACAATACAAGGCAACATATATTTTCTTTTTACATGTATGTCCTATATAACCAACTAGACTCTTACACTTTTAGCACCATAGCAGGTACCACATTTGTTGGTTATGATGATGATAAAAGTGAGAAAGACCTAGTCATCTTCTTTGTCTACTACTAACTACTACTATTACTACTACTACTACTGCTGCTGCTACTGCTGTTGCTACTACCACTACTACTACTACTACTACTACTACTATTACTACTACTACTACTACTACTACTACTGCTACTACTACTGCTACTCCTCACCTTTTTCTGTTCTCCCAAAGTCCATGAAACTCAAGCTAGAAGGACCCCAAGGAGTTCATCTAATCTAGTCTCATTTTGTTTCCCTGCCATGATACCTAAGCTATCTTCATCGAGGTTTCTTTTGGAAAATCTCTGGAGGTGGGGACTCCATTTTCCTTTTCTGTGTTTGATCACCTAGGTAATCGAGAAGTTTTTCAGAGTCTTTAAAGTCCCTCAAAGCTCAGCTTATGTTGGGTCCTTTCCTGATCCCCAGGTCCTAGTCTTCCTTTTCTCCGATTATCTTGGACTTATGAAATCTATTCTTGCATATTCTTACATGTGTTGATTGCCCCAATAAAAGGTAAGCTCCTTGAGGGGAGGGACTTTCATTTCTGCCTTTGTATCCCCAGTGCCCATCACACAGTAGGTGCTTATTAAATAAATGCTTATTCTGATTATAAATCAATTAATAAATAATATTAATAAATAAATGCTTATTCTGATTTTTTTTTTGTCTAACTAATCTCCCCTGCTCTAACTTATTTTCCTTTAGTATAGTATTCTACAGGCAAGATTTGCCCTTTTCCTTAAAAAACTCTTCACGAACTTCAAGTTAGTGATCCTGTCAACCAATCAGAACTTCAGAGCTGAAAGGAAACTAAGAGGTCTCACCTGATCCCCTTGTTTATTGATGAGGCATTGGGCAAACTCTTAAGGGACTTGCTCAAGAAAATGGAATCCAGGTCATCAGACTCCTGGTGCGGGACCCTTTTCACTATATTTGATTTTTCCTTAAGTCAATTTAATTCAACAAGTGTTAACTAAGTACCTACTATGTGCTAGGTATTGAAGATTGTTATTCGGTCTGTGTCCGACTCTTTGTGACTCCATTGGGGTTTTCTTGGCAGAGATACTGGAGTGGTTGACCATTTCCTTCTCCAGCTCATTTTACAGATGAGGAAGTTGAGGCAAACAGAATTAAGTGACTTGCCCAGGATCACAGGCTAGTGTGTGAGGCCAGATGTGAACTCAGGACTTCCTGACTTCAGGCCAGGCACTCTATCCACCACACGACCTAACTATCCTACTGAAGATACGAAGATGAAATAAGATGTGGTCCTTTGAATTGACACTATAGAAGTAATGGATATAGAGCTGACCTTGGAGTCCTGGGTTCAAGCCAGCCTGTGACACATACTGGCTCAGTGCCCCAGATGGCTCTCTAAGATTATACATTTCAGGTCTGAATTAGTAGAAAAGTTTCTCAACAGAAGCTCCTTGCACCAATGAAATCTCACACACACATTTTATACATATACATTTATATACACACATACATTTATATATACATACACACACATACTTTTTATATATACACATATACATTTATATATACATACAAATACATATACACACATTATATATATATACACACAAACATTTATATACACATTTATATATACACACAAATATATATACACACATTTTACATATATATACACACAAACATTTATATACACATGTATACATTATATATATACATACATACATATACACCTGGATTCAAATCTCAACTCTGATGCTTATTAGCAGTGTATTCCTCAGGTAATCCACTTACCCTCTCAACCTGTTTCTTCAACTATAAAGTGAGGATAATACCTTTAGTACCAACCACACAGGATTACAGTGATGCTTAAATGAGACAATGTAAATAAAGCCTTGCTAATTTTAAAACACTTCATAAATAATTATTTCCTTTTCTTATAAAATAGAGTTGGGCTAGACATGTTTTCTAAGATTCAAAAAGCACATGGAAAGCAACATCCATATTTCACCACACAATTTTATGCAACATAGCAACTTAAGCCAGTTGTCCACTATTGACACATTCAATATCAATTGCATATAAGATTTTTAAGTTAAAAAAAAAAAACAAACAACTTACATGATTTGCGGCATCTACGCTGATCCCAGCGTCAATGAGAGCTTGAGCAATGTCATCAAAGCCGTGAAGGGCAGCGTAGTGAAGGCAGTTCATTTGCTTCTAATGGAGATATCAGAAATATAGCATGATTCTTGGCCTCGTATTTACAAAAAGTAGCATTTGTAGCTACCGTTTATGCCTTTCCCCATCCGTCCAGCTGCTAGCCCCTTCCCTCTGAGATCGCGTCCCATCTGCTATGTTTGTATGTTGTCTCCCCCATTAGAATGTGGGCTTCTTCAGAGCTGGGGCTGTTTTTATGAACTTTTCTGTCACTCCCCAGCCTTTAGCACAGTGCTTGGTATACAGTAAGTACCTTAAAGATGCTCACTGGCTGACCAAAAGCGACAGGCCGGTGAGCAGGAGTATGAGGATTGCATCTTCTCTAATCTATGAATCTCCCCCAGCAAATACCTTACATAGCAAGTGCTTTATAAATGCTGAATGAATGAATTTGAACCAGCTCCTCTTACTCCAAATTCAGTGTTAATTCTACTATGTTTTTGAGTTTTCGCTTTGCATTAGATTATAGTACTGATGAGAGAGACTATGGGTTCGATTCCTGTGGAGTCAGTTAAATTTCATTCCATTCCATTTCATGGCCACAGCCTGCCTCCCAGAATTCTCAAAAATTCATGGACACTGGTCACAAGAGGCGTGCATGTCTGTGTGTGTACATGTATGTGTATGTTATGTGTGTTGGGAAGATGGGATATGGGAGAGCTGAACAGAATAGACAAAGTCAATCCTATGCTCTCATCTTCTGAACCACTATACACACCAGAGGTAAATCCAGCCAGTTTAGTTCTAGGATCTATTGCTCCGAAAATCATGTTTCCCCTCCCTTGAGCAATAGTCAGTGTCCCTGTCCAAAGGAGAATTAGCCCCTGTGGCCTCAGCCTAGAGACTCCTGGTGGGAATCCTGGAAGCATTCTGCACCACAGCCTGGGACAGGTATCCTTGGTGACTCTACACCCAGGCTATAGGCCCACTCACGCCAAAACCCCAAAGCTCTAAAAACAGTTTAGGTGCCCAGGTTTGGACCTCCTGCTGCTGCTGCTTTAAACACTCAAAAGTTCCTGTTTTCTTGTAACTTCTCATGCGAATCAGATAAGGTATTAGGAAGACACTGAAAAAAAGAATGCCACCCTTGAAGTCACAGGACCTTAGTTCCCATCTTGCTTTTGTCAATTAGTAAACATTTATTAAGTGCCAGCTATGTGCCTGGCGTTGTGCTAAACACCGTCCCAACCTGTGTGACATTGAGCAAATCACTATCCCCTCTGGACCTCAGTTTCCTCATCTGTTAAATGAAGTGGTTGGCCCAGATGGCCTCTGAGGTCCATTCCAGGTATAACTCTGCAATCCTGTGTTATCCAATTTTTCACATCAAGCACTCACCTCTTTATCTGGCCATTCATTTTGATGACCCTTAACTATTTGTTATCTGGTCAAGGGACAGAGAATGAAGCAGCATAAGGCAAAGTTGACAACACACAGTCCTCAGCAGACAAACAGGCTAAAAACAAACAGGGCAGATTGGGTCACCTGAGTCTGGGCGTTGACCTTGCTGCCAGCTTGAATCAGGAGCCGTACACAGTCCAAGTGGCCTCCCTCAGTTGCCATATGCAGTGCAGTCAAGCCTTCCTGAAACACAGGGTGGAGATGATGGCAGTATGTCACAGAGAATAGAAATCCAGCCTCAAAGCCAGAAAGACCTAGGTTCAATTCCAGACTCTGATATACCCTGGCTGTGTGACTCTAGACGAGTCACTTAGCCCTTTAATGCTCTGGGAAACTCTAAGTTGCAGAGAAAGTTACAGTCTTCATTGACAGAAGGAATTTTCTATATTAATGAAACCACAGGTTTTAGTCCTTATCTCTAATTAGAATAATCATCATTTCCCATAATTTAATAGGAAGTCTCTAGTCTGATTAGGCTAATCTGTTTACTGTCCTATGCACATGCTATGGTCAGTTTTACCTCTACTTTTGTTCGTGACCTTCCCAGTACCTGGGATGCCCTCCCTCCTACTCTTGGCTTATCCAAAACCTACTTTGCCTTTATGGGCCAGCTCAAGTCCCACTTCATCCAGAAGGCATTCCCTGACTCCTCCAGCCACAAGAATCTCAAGGTCTTCTGACATTTATTTTCCTGTTAGAATGTAAGCTCCCTGAGGGCAGGGACTAATTTTGTCTTTGTTTCCCCAGTGTGTGACACAAGTAGGTGTTTAATTAATGCTTGTTGATTGACTGTTCCACTTATCTACAACCAGTCATGCCTTCTGACATCTCTTGCATTGGCACTTCTATTTAACGTTCCATAGATACATGTATGATTTGCCTAACTAGACTATAAGTTTCTTGAGGGTAAGGAATTGTTTTACATGACTTCAGTGTCCTTCCCACGTCCCACATTAGGTGAGTACTGCCTGTGTGACTCTGGGCTAATCTAAGCTTTCTGTGCTTCATTTTCTTTATCTGTAAAATGAAGGCTTATTGGCCGATAAGGACCTGTTAGGGTGAATGTCTCATGGTCTCATGAGAGCTCTGTTGAGGGAACTTTCCCATGGGAGTTCTAGCTTCTATCAGTAGAAGCTGAGGGTCACAATATAGTTGCGTGGCAAAAATAAGGAAGTCTCCCGGGACCTCTCCTTTGCTGACATGCAGCTCCCATGGTTGGTTTGGCTCTCCTCTCACTGGGAAATGAGTACTGACACGAGCTCCAGCAGACCTGATGATTGGCTATCACAGGGGGATCACGCTTTGAACATGCATCACTAGGGCCATAAAAGACAGCTAACTGCACTCAATAAACGGAGCTTCTGCCACCTTGCTGTCTCCCGCCTCATCCATGCGTCTCCGGGTTGCAGAGCACTGAGCTGGTCTCATGCTCACCACTGCAGCGGCCACGTCAAGGACCCTTACAGCTCTAACTCTATGAGCCTTATTACATATATACATACACAATTATACATATATATATATATATTACATACATAGCCAGTATTGCTCCATAACAGTAGGTACTCAACATTTTTTTTATTGCATCAATGGGGCAAGGCAGAACTAGAAAACATGTCCCATTCCCCCTAACATGGAGAATATTCCCCATATCTCAAGGGTTGTCCTCAGAACAAAAGGATTAATCATACACTAATCTAATACAAATACAAGATGGCGCCAGGCCTGGAGTCAGGACACTTCATCTTCCTGAGTTCAAATCTGGCCTCAGACACTTACTAGCTGTGTGACCCTGGGCAAGTCACTTAACCCTGTTTGCCTCAGTTTCCTCATCTGTCAAATGAGCTGGAGAAGCAAATGGCAAACCACTCTTTGCCAAGGAAACCCCAAAAGGGGTCACAAAGAGTCAGACACAACTGAAAATGACTAAACAAACAACAACAAATTAATCAAACATGTTTTAGATGCTTACAATGCTCCAGGTACTCTCCTAGACACTACAAATACCATCATTAAGTGTTGAAGTAGGGAGAAAAGAAGGGAAGGTCAGGGGTAAGGACCCCCACCTCAGGAGGCAGTTAGGTTGACTCAGTGGATAGAGTGCTGGGCCTAGAGTCAGGAAGAAAGACTGGGGTTCAAATCAGGTCTCAGCTACTTACTGTGTGACCCTGGGCAAGTCATGTAACCTCTGTTTGCCCCAGTTTCTTCATCTGTAAAATGGGGATAATAATAGCACCTGCCTCGCAGGTTGTTATGAAGACCAAATGAGATTTGTAAAGCACTTAGCACAGTGCCAGGCACATAGTAAGTGCTATATAAATGTTATTGTTGTTGTTATCATTATAATTACTGAAGCAAAGCTACCCCTGCCTTGGAAGCATTAGTATCCATATATAACACTGAGAGGCTTAGTATTCTAAGGGATAAATAAACTTTAATAAGTCAATGAGCACAGAGAGCAGGGCTAAGACAGAGTAGAATGATTATGAAAGTTGAGAGGGGAAACCTGGATCCTGGCTTGGGAAACTGAGGCTTCAGACTGACCTCAGGGCAAGGGGGAACCTGCAGGGCCCATGGCAAGTGTCCTGACTTACCCTATTCTTCTCCTCTAGGTCCAGCCCAAGCTCTATGATCCTCTGGAGCACCGAAGAGTGACCATTCTTTGCTGCCAAATGAAGGGCCGTGTTCCCCTCCTGCAAAGAGATACTGGTTCAGGTGGGGAATGGGCAGGTGAGCAGTACTGCACGCTAACCAAAGAATCAAAAAAACTTCAACCACAGGGACTTACTTAAAGACCACCTGGTCCTACCCACCCGTTTTATAGGGAGGTAACACAAAGCAGTGAAAAGACCCCTGGACTCAGGATCCAGGGACCTGAGCTTCATTGCTGGTTCCAGCATTTACTATCTGCATGACCTTTATTCTCAGGGCTCTCAGTAAAACAAAGATAATATTTGTACTTTTATTGTTGATGATTCATTTTCAGTTGTGATCTACTGTCTATTACCCCATTTGGGGTTTTCTTGGCAAAGATACTGGAATGGTTTGCCATTTCCTTCTCTAGCTCATTTTTCAGATGAGGAAACTGAGGCAAACACAGGTTAAGCGACTTGCCCAGGGTCACATAGCTAGTAAGTGTCTGAGGCTGGATTTGTACTCAGGTCTTTCCTGACTCCAAGGTGTTCTATCCACAGCGCCACCTATCGTCTCAATATTTGTACTGCCTACCTTCGGACACAAATGAAATGACTAAACCAACTTCTCTGTAAACCATGAAGTGATATAAATTTGAGCTATTATTTTTATAAATAAATATGATGCAATATTGCATATCACCTACATTTCCTAAGGTATCCCCCCATCTCTCTACCTCCCAGGGAGCCATTCCCACACAACAAAGAAGAAAGACAAAGTTTCGGCAAAACCAACCACCATATCAGATGTCATATGAAGCGGGCCACACCCACGATTGCCCCATCTCAGCAAGAAGCGGGCAGGGAGGTACCTTCTCCTGTCTCTTTGAGACCAAGTTTGGTAATTTGCAGCGTTCAATTTCAATCGATTTGTTTTTTCTATTTGTGGCTGACCTTGTGTATTCTGCTTTCCTGGTTCTGCTTGCTGCACTTTGCATCCATTCATAGAAACTTTCTCCCCTTCTTTATGCTTGTCATACTCATTATTTCTTTCAGCACAATCGTATTCTATCACATTTATGTACCGCATTCCTCAATGGATGGGCCTCTGCTTCATTTCCAATTCTTTTCTAGTTTGCAAAGTGCTGTTGTAAATATTTGGGCGTATTAGGGGCCTCGTGACAGAACTAATACCTACCAATATTTCCTCACGATATGGGTTTAGCCCACCTCTCCAGTAGGGATTAGTTTTCCTTAATTGGAGACATGAGGGCAGCTAGGTGGTGCAGTGGATAGCGCAGTGGGCTTGCAATAAGACAGGCTTATCTTCCTGAGTTCAAATCTGGTCTCAGACATTTACTAGTTGTGTGACCCTGGGCAAGTCACTTAACCCTGTTTGCCTCAGTTTCTTCATCTGGAAAATGAGCTGAAGAAGGAAATGGCAGACACTCTAGTATCTTTGCCCCCCAAAACAAACGCACAAACAAATCCAAATGGGGTCACGAAGAGTAAATACAACAGAAAGTGAATCAACAATAACTGGAAACAGGACCTGATTGACTCCTATTTTCCTGACTCCATTTCCTGGTCACTTAAGGACATAAAAAGTCCTGCCCACATGAAATGGCCTTTCCCTCCCTCACCAAGGCGGACTTCCAGCAACCACACAAATCACCATGTCTTTCACCATGTTCTGCCCTGATAACCAGATCCATTTCCATGTATGGATAAGGGTGGCCATGTTCAGAGAGCCCTATCTTTTTCTCTATTTTTTTAGGCAATTGGGGTTAAGTGACTTGCCCAGGATCACACAGCTAGTAAGTGTCCAGTGTTTGGTCTTAGGCCAGATTTGAACTCGGGTCCTCCTGACTTCAGGGCCAGTGCTCTATCCACTGTACCACCTAGCTGCCCCTGTGTATCCTTGCAAAGTAAGCCTCCTTCTATTAGTTGTTCAATTACTGGTGAATGCCCCATTTTGTCCCAACATCCAGCCTGACTAAGAGAGTGCTGGCATCAGGGCCACCTCCAATGAGGCCTGACCTCCTGAGAGCTCTTCCTGTTGTTGCAGATGAGGAAACCAAGGCCCTGAAAACCTAAATGACTCTCCCATGACCACAGTTAGAGGCAGAGCCAAGACTAGATTCTACGTCTCATGATTCCCAGAACTAGCTCTTGATACCTCTGTAAACTCTGAGGAGGAAAGAGGGCCAGGGACTTCCCTGGGCAGAAAAACCCAGGCTCATTCAGGGATGGAATGATTGCTCTGTTTCTTGGGGTTCCCGTACAAAAATCAGGCCACTCTCTTTACAATTCCTCACACATGTAATGTTCTTTCTTATTCTTCGTCTCTCATTCTTTTGTCTGAAAATGACGTTTCCCCTGCCTGTCCACTTACTCCATCCCACTCACCCTTGAAGGGCCAGCTCAGATCTCAGCTCCTCCAGAAAGCCTTCCATGACTGACATCCAGTGATCTCTCTCTCTCTCTCTCCCCTCTCCCTCCCTCCCTCTTCTTCTCCCTTCTGACTTCTAGCAAAACTTGAGAGCCTGTCACAGACTGTGGCACACCAGATTCTGTACTTGTATTTAAATGTTTCATGAGCCCTTACACACACACTTCACCCCTACCCTGACATCTCATCAATCTACAGAGGTGGGTTCTCAAAATACATCCTATGAGCTAGAAAGTCTTAAAGCGTAGGCTCAGTGAGAGATGATCCATGGAACAGCCTGGCCAAGTCTGGAGATGTTTATCACCATTTACCCCTTACAAAAAAAAAGCTACCCCAGGATGTAAAGAGGGGGGTATTTTTTCAAAGACAGAGAATTACTAAGGCATTGAGAGATTGTAATTTACGTGAGGTAATTAATTGCAGAACGAGAATTCTGGATCCCAGGCAAATGTCTCCACAACCAGAATATAGGCTTATTGAGGGCAGGGAACAACACGCAAACAAACACACATATATGCCAAATACATATATATGTAAAAATACCAAAGTGTATATGAACATGCATGTATTTATATGTAAACATACATGCATGTTTATATACACTTTGGTATTCATATATTTATATATTTTATATGTGCATGTTTATGTATAAGTACCATAGTGTTTATAAATATACATGTATGTTTACATATAAATATATGCATATCATACTGTGTATAATGTATTACACATATGTTTACACACAAATAGACATAGATTGAAGCCTGTGTGTATATAAACATGCATATGTATTTATGGATAAACATGAATGTGTGTATATAATACACTTTTGTATATTAATTGTGTGTATAGATGTGTGCCTACATAAAAATATACAAACAGCCTAATTTGCATTTATGTATATAAACATGCATGCATGTGTATATATAAATATATGGATGTATTATAATGTGTATAACATATAGATGTGTTCACGCAGTGACAGATGTGGATCAAAATCTGCATGTATATACCAATATGCATATGTGTTTATGTATAAACATATGAATTTATGTATATAATATACCTGTATTGTAGTGTATATTATTTGTGTGTATACATATATGTCTACATACAACTATACATATATGGGCCTAACTCGAAGTTGTGTATATAAACACACATATATGTTTATATATAAGCACGTACGTATTTATACAACATACAGTGTGTACTATGTCCATCATATTATATCCATCATGTCCATCCAATACACAGTATGTGTTATATCCATGAATATATGTCAACACATAAATATAAATGTATGGACCATAGTGTGCATTTGTGTGTAGAACACTGTGTGGTGTTGTATACATGTATATATGCACACACACACACACACACATATACACTTTTGGTCCATGTCTATGATTTCATTATAATTATAAACCCCTGGTGAGGTAACTCACTCCACCTATGCAGCCTGGCAACTATCCCAAAATTTATGGTCTGAGAAAATCCCCTGGGCTATTAAGGAGTTATGTGACTAGCCCAGAAGCACAGAGCCAGCACCTGCCAGACCACTTGAACTCCGGTTTTCCTGACTTTCAGACCAGCTCTCTATGAAGCCATGCTACCTCTCATCTTTCATAACACTCAGTAAAGATTTTTTTTAACTGAAATTTTCCATTCATTTTTTCCCCCTTAGAGTAAGCAATACTCTTGATAGGTTCTAGGAGAGATATAGAGTTTAAATAAGACAAGACCCCTGCCCTCAGGGAGCTTACATTCTATCAGGCGACAACATGTTAACACAGATAACCATGACACAAAACAACACGACCAGGGCAGCGAGGAGACCCAGTGGATAGAGCAATGGCTCTGGAGTCAGGAGGACCTTTGTTCAATTCCGGTCTCAAACACCTAACATTCAGGGGCTGTGTGACTCTGGGCAAGTCACTTAACCCCAAATGCCTCACAAACAAACAAACAAACAAACAAACAAACAAAAAACCAATATGATATAAAAACATCAGCAGTGGGAGAAAAATTAATCATAAACTTCCTATGAAATCCTAGAATCTTAAACTTGGAAGGAACTTTAATATTGATTTATTTTTAGTTTTGAATATTCACTTCTATAAGCTTTTGAGTTTTACATTTTCTCCCCCTCCTTCCCCAAGACAGCGCTTATTCCCCTTTCCCCCATTTATGCTTTACTTTCTTTTTCTCCCTTTCCTTCCTCACTAGAGTTTTTGACCACCGCCTCCCTCAATCTGCCCTCCCTTCTATCAGCCCCCTCCCTTTTTTTTCCCCTTTCCCCTCCTACTGCCTATATGGCAAGTTAAATTTCCATACCTGAGTATGTTATTCCCTCCTTGAGTCAAATCTGATGAGAGTAAAGTTCAAACAATGTTCATCTCCCTCTCTTCTTCCCCTCTAGTAACATGTCTTTGTGCCTCTTCATGTGATGTAATTTACCCCTTTTGGAAGGAACTTCCAAAATGTCAATTAGATGTCAATTAGCCCAACCATTGGGTCAATTAGACCTAATGCAGGCAGACCTTCTACAACAGAGGTTCTTTTTTTTAATTAATTTTTTTTTTCATTTTTAGGCAATTGGGGTTAA